TGGGGTCCTCCATGGGCTGCAGGTGGATATCTGCTCCACCATGGACCTCCATGGGCTGCAGGGGGACAGCCTGCCTCACCATGGTCTTCACCACGGGCTGCAGGGGAATCTCTGCTCCGGTGCCTGGAGCACCTCCTCCCCCTCCTTCTTCACTGACCTTGGTGTCTGCAGAGTTGTTCCTCTCACATATTCTCACTCCTCTCTCCAGCTGCAATTGCACAGGTTTGGTTTTTTCCCCCCCTTCTTAAATATGTTATCACAGAGCTGCTACCACCATCGCTGATGGGTTCAGCCTTGGCCTGCGGCAGGTCCATCTTGGAGCTGACTGGCATTGGCTCTATCGGACATGGGGGAAGCTTCTGGCATCTTCTCACAGAAGCTACCCCTGTAGCCCCCCACTACCAAAACCTTGCCATGCAAACCCAATACATCTACTATCCAGGTAAGCGCAGCAGCCACGGTCCTGGGACACAATCACTCTGTGGGCTGGTCCTCTGCTGTCACAGAGCCTCTTCCTTCCAGATGGCAGAAGCCAAGAGCTCAGGATGGGGCAGTTTGTGTCCCCTGGGGCACATCCCAGTATCTCAGTGGGTGCCAGTAAGAGAAAAGTGAGCAAGACTGGGGAGGAGTTGGGGTGCGCAGACTGGGGTGCTCAGCCCTGCAGGTCCCAGTCACACCCATCTCTTTGGGAACGATGCGGGGCAGCTGCTAGGAGCTGTGCTGGTCACGTGTGTTGGCAGGGGGCACCATTGTGCACCAGGCAGGAGAGGCCACGTTGGTGCTGTGGAGTGCAGGCACCTGGATGGTGGAGTATGGCCAGGGCTTCATCCCCTCCATGCTTGCCTTCACCCTGGCTGACACCCTGTTCAGCACTCAGGACTTTGTTACCCTCTTTTACACCCTGCACGTCTACGCTAAGGGCCTGCTCCTGGAAGCCAATGCCTTCTTCAGCACCTTGGGCTGCTGAGCCCGGCTATCTGGGGCGCCCTGCCAGGCACAGCTGGCTCCTCTCCTCCCAGCCTTCCTCCCCTTTCCTCCTCCTCCTCCTCCCCAGGCCCAGGCTTTAGCAGAGGCAGCAGGAGACCCCCTGTGCCTCCCCCCAATTGCTCTGTCCTTCCCCATGGGCCAGCTGGGTGCCAGGACAGAGGGACCATGGCGGTCACCACAATGCAGACCACCAGTTCTCTTTACTACCTGCCTGTCCCCCCTTTTGAGTGGAGCTATGTCCTGCTTTTCCATCCCCTGGGGCTGGAGTCACCTTGTGGGGTACAAACACTGCTGTGTGCCCCCGGCATGCAGCGGGAGAGGGGCTGGGGCTGGCTGTCCCCGGGCTCCGTGAAATTTCTGCAGCTCCTGAGACATCAAGAGGAGGATGCTGGCATGAGCCAGGCTGCACCGTGCCCCTTACGGTAGGGTGCATGAGGTGAGCTGGGCCAGAGCACCCACTGTAAAGGTCGGCCAAGAGGTTCCCCGTCTCCCTGGCGGGGCTGCCAGGTCTGTGGGCAGTGCAGAATTCTGTGTCCACCTGGCAGCATCTCCCGTGGCTCCATCCCTGCTGACGTGGGTTGGCAGCACACAGTGTCCCCCTGGCACAGGGCGGGATCTGCGCTGGGACTCCCAGCAGTGAGGGGATGCCCAGCCTCTGTGCTGGAGGTCCCTCCTGGTCCCCTGCGTGTCATCTGCCCCAGGGGATGGCTGGGGCTGGAAGAGGGTCCCTTTCCCTGCAGTTCTCCTCCCTGCAGTCCCCCCCAAGGAAGAGAGCTACCATCTGTCACCTTAACCGAGAGCCTGTTCTGTGTGGCCTCTGGTCTATTCACATACCTAGTGTCTGTGGGTGCCTGAACCTCTGTACTATCTCAGTACGGGATCTTGCCCCTTGAAACACTTTCCCTGGCTGCGAGACCCCCTGGGGATGGCCACTGTGCTCAGGTCCCAGCGCAGGGTCCTGGCCACCAAGGGAGCGTCGCAGTTCCCCAGCTGAGCCTGGCTGCAGACCCCGCTTGCAGCCCTGTGGCCGGACCCAGGCAGGCTTGCTGCTTGGTGGAGGGCTTTCGCCTCTGCGCTGCTGCTGAACTAACATGTGTGTCCCCAGCCGCCAGGCCTGTAGCATGTCCCTCCTCCCACAACCTGGACTGTCCCCATCCTGCCGACTGGCAGCCCAGCACATGGGCTACTTTTTAATTTGCCACCCGAAAAGAGATGTCAGTAATAAAATTGTTCATCCCACCTGCTTGGATCCCCGGGAGAGTCTGTGGAGCATGCTGAGCCCCTGCCATGGGGAATGGTGCTGGATCCAGCCAGCTCTAGGCTCAGCAGGGGTCCTGCTGGCAGCTGGGGGCAGAATGGGTGTCCCCGGGCAGCTGGCATAATCCTGCCCAGGGTCCTGGGAGCCAGAGGTTGTGGTGCTGGGCAGGATCAGGCCCATCTCAGCTGCCCAGGGACCAGCAGGAGATGGTGGTTACTCCTCTCTCCACTGCAGTTGCTGGGGACTGAAAACCTGGGCTGGTGCCAGGGCCCTGCCTCCACAGGGAACCTGGGAGTCCGGGGGGCTCCATCCTTTTGGGGGATGGTGCCAATGCTAGGCATGCGGCCCTGGGGGTGGATGGACCCAGGCCTAGTGGGTTGATGGTCCTTGAGAGGTTTACACAGATGCATGCACACAGACACACACACCTCCCGGTGTGAGAAGGGCACAGGAGGGGATCATAGGATCTATAGTCTCTGTGTGTGTATGTGTGTGTGTGTGCATGCTGGCAGGCAGATTGCATGCATGTGTGTGTATAGGTGCAAACAGGATGGTTTTGTGTGTGTCTTGGCAGGGCAGTTGGGCATGCATAGGTGTGTGCTTGCGTATAGGTAGAACAGTTTGCAGGTGGGTGTAGGCAGGACAGGTGGGGGGGTGTGCACGTGTGTGCACATGCATGTATATAGGTAGAACAATTGGGCATCTGTCCATATGGTCAGAACAATTGCACATGTGTGAGTGCTTGGGCACATATGGGTAGGACATTTGTGTATGTGCATGTGTTTAGGGAGGAGAGTTGTGTGCATGTGTGTGTGTCCACACATGTGTGTGGTCATGCTGTGCCCATTCCCTGGGATTTAGTGGGGCCCTGTCGAGGAACACGAGCAATCCCATGCTGGCCTGCGTGGGAAGGTGCTAGCTAACTCAGCAGCTCGTATCAATACCACTCCACTTACAGCGAAGGCCATGTAATGAAAATCCGATGGGCATGCTGGTGGGAGTAAATAAGTATGCCATCAAAATGAGAAAATCAAAGCTCTGGACAGGTCTTTTGTCTTGCCCATTGATTTCTTTTATTACAGAAATATTGCTGCTAAATAACATTAGTGTGAACAATCTCAGCAGTGTTTTCCATAGTGCCTGTGTCAATAACTCCATTACAGGAGGGGGATTCCCCCCAGCCTGGCCACGTCCCCGTCCAGGCTAAGGGCTGCGCCGGAGGTACCTTTCTCACTGTCCCTGGCCATGCTGGGATGTGCCCAGCAGAGAAACTGGGCAGCATGGGGTGACTCGGCCAAGTGCCACCTGGAGGGAGCTGGGCTGGGACACAGGAGCCCCAGCTGCTTTGCTGTGGTGGGAGGGGTTGTCCCCATCCCAGCGCTGAGCAGGGACAGTGCCAGGCATGCAAGGGTCCCAAAAAGCAGCCCTTCCCTTCGGGGCAGGTGTTTGCAGCCTCTTACAGAGCAGGTAAGTGTCCCCAGCGTCCAGCAGACAAGGGATGGGTCCTGGACATGGCATGTCCCACAGGCTTTTGCTGCCTCTGCCCTTTCCTCCTCACTCCTCCTCTCCAAGACCCATCCATGCCCATGTCCGTGCTGGACAGACCCAGCTCCCTGTGGCTTGCCATCATTTGGTTCACATGGAAAAACTGAGACATGGGGTGGGAACTCATCCACAGTCACCCAGCTCCAGCACGGCCCCTGCGCCAGGGCCAGGGCTCATGCTCAAGCTGCCCCTCTCCCCTTTGGCTGCCCACACGCAGGCACCCAGCACCCTCCGAGATGCCCACGGGTGGCAGGGACATCCCTGCAGGGCCAGAGGATGTGACCAGGACACAGATCTGCAGCCTTTGGTACCCAGAGACCAGGTGGGACCCCAGGGCACCTCCACCGTGGGTCTGGCTCTGTCCCAGCCCCAGCTGAAGCAACCACGAGCAGCAGCTCCTCAGAGCCATTGCCAGGACAAATGCACATCATTGCCCACCAAACACCTTCCCCTTGCAGCTTGCTCTATCTTGTTGTCCCTCCGCATGCAGTGAGTATTGATCAGCCCACAGGATCTATCTCCCGATTCCTCCTGCGGTATCTCTCTGCTCAGAGTCTCTCTCAGCCTGCTCCGCTGTCTGCTGTGCCTGTCTATACCTCCAGTATCTATCTGTGCTGCCTCTACCACAGCCGTCGATAGCCATTTGTCTGGGGGATTTCTCTTTCTCTCCAGCTAGGAGTGTCACCAGACCCTGGCGGTGCAAAGATGCCAAGCAGGAGGGTGGAGGGGACACGGCCCTGCTTGCTGCCCTGGGAAGAGCCTGAGCACAGACACACTTCATGACACATGTGCAGAGCCTCAGCTGCTGCTGTCACCGTGGAGGCTTTAGGGAGGAACTGAGTCGTGCTGGTCCAGCTGGGCCGGGTCCCTTGGCAGTCATGCCCAGGGTGATGGGACATGCTGCTCCCCATGCAGACCTCGGTGCTGCCACTAGCCAGCCTGGCCACATCTCCCACCCCTGGGTGCCACGTTGACCCCAGCACCCCAATCCCTCTGCCCTGGAGGAGGGGAGCTTCCCCAAATGCCTGGGTTCCTGCTGGGCCATGGAGAAGTCCTGTCACCATCACCATGTCTGACTCATCCCACCCAGCCCAGCCTTCAGCTCCAGCTCCCTCCTTTCCCCAGGGTGCAGGAGATGGAGCACAGACCAGTGCAGAGGGTGCCAGCACCCTGGATTGCAATGCACCTGCACCAGGAGGGGAGGCTGGAGCCCTGTGCGATGGGGACCTGTGGAATGAGTCCCAGGTGCCAGTTGGCCCTGTGGGTCTCCCTGAAATGGGGCTGAGTCATATCTTCCCAGGGGCAATTCAGAAGGATCATCGGCCAGCCACCGACAAACTGATGCTTGGGGGACTGGCAAGTGCCGGAGGGTCCCTACCCTTGCTGCAGCAGGATGGGATGGGCCAGGGTGAGCCACAGCTGTCCAGCCCTGAAATGGGATGGCCGACAGCTGCTTTATCTCCTGCGCAAAGATAAACAGTGCCCAGAGGCCCTGCAGGGTCTGGAGCTGCCCTGCTCTCCCAGGAAAGGGGCTCATTTTTCCAGGAGAGCTTCCCTGGCAAGGACACTGTGCCATGCTGGGTAGCCCTGGGGCAGGTGTGAGGAGCTGGGGGTCACCAGCACCGTGGCAGGATGAGGGGCAGTTTCTCCAGAGATGCTAGTGGGGAAGCTGGAAAGCCCAGAAGCGTCAGCTTTTCCTTGCAAAGAGATGCGGTGAAGGCGGCAAAGGTTCAGCCTGGGCTGTGGAGCCTGAGAGCAAAGCCAGCTCCCACCGCAGCCATGGCCAACTGCTGTTTCCACAAGATGCTCCAGGGAAAGGGCAGGACTCAGCTCATGCCAGACTGCGAAAGGCAGCTGCCCCTGGCCCCTGTGGCACACAGGTGGCCCTGGAGGAGACAGCGGCCCTTGGCACCTAGAGCTCCTGTCACCCCATGCCACCAACACCCAGTGCAGCAGCATGAGGTCTTGGTGACAAGCTGTGGGCCAAAGCCACTGTCCCTTGTGTCCCAGTGTTGCAGGATGCTGTTGCTGCTTGTCCCCCAGGGACCTGTGCAAGCCCTGTAGCTGCCCCGCCCAAAAAAGACCAGGAAGAGCAGGCGCCTCCTTTGCCTCCTGCTAAAACTGCCTCCATAGAAAAGAGGGCTCAGAAAAAAACTGGCAGGCAGGCAGGCAGAGGGGGAGTGTGGGGACAGCATGGGGATGCTGCCGGTGGGGGAAGCCCTGTGCTTCGCCACAGGCCCTGGCTCACCCAGGGCAGTGAGGTGCTGTGGTGCAGCAGCAGGGCCAGGGTGCTGTGTGCTCACCCTGGCTCACACCCTTGTCCAATGTCCGGAGATGTGCTTGATGGTACCCCGGTGCCTCAGTTTACCCTGCTGCAAGTGGGGACACAGGGCAAGCCGGTGGCACTGAGTCCCTCCAGTGACAGAGATGCGTGGCCTCATCCTGCCCATGCCAGGCAGGGGCCAGGGCTCTGGGA